TTTTTTTTTTTTTTCAAGTGAATTGAAATGAAGTGAAATGTAAAACATCCAGACTATTACAATAATGAGAATTTGAGGGGGGGAAATCTGCTTAATTGTATTGAAAATAATAAAAAAAAATTGTAAGGGTCCTAAAAATGGTCATTTTTAAATGTAAAATATAAATGCTTTTTTCCCCTCTTGATTTTGCAGTGAAATGGGATCTGGACATGATTTCATGAGATTCACCCTTAAAACCACACTGCATTTTAAATAAGCAGAGCTGCCGTTTAAATGCTTAAGGAAAGGCGAGCGTTTCAGCTTGTGAGTTGGCGCCAATTGCAGTCTATTTCGTCTCAGGGAAGCCCGTTCTTTACCTGCAGGTGTGTGTGTGTGTGTGGTGATGTAAAGAGTCCCAGGGTGCTGTTCAGGCAGTGCAGAGGCTGGGCCGCTCCACATCTCTCTAATCACTCTGTTTACAGTCCATATGTGAGCTATTCCCACTGAGCAGCGGCCCGGTATTTACACTGAATTAGAGTCCGCTCACAGCTCGCTTGCTGTAGACTGGGCGGCCCACACGTGTGTGCTGCAATTTTCGGGGGAGGGTATCTGCTTTTGTTGTTTCTGATTTCTCTTGCTGGCGTGAAGGAGTGTCTTTCGCTAATTTTAGTCGTTACTTCTCCAGTTAGAACAGGCTGCCTCGTCTGTGTTAGGGTCATCTTTGATGGGTACGCTAGTAGAGGTGACCTTTTTATTTAGGTGAACAGTCTTGTTGTTGAACAGGAAGAGTTGAAGAGATCAGGTCGATTTAAGACCAAACGCCAGCTTTTATAGGATTAGTGTCATCTTGATACTCCGAACGCTAATCCCTGCTCTTAAAAAGGTTAATGAATGGAGAATCAGAAGGAGAATTACACCAGAGTGGATGGGGATTGTGAATATAGTGCTTTTTTTTTTCCAAAGCTACATTGCATGTTTAGATTTACACGCTAACAGGAGCTGTTCATTCTAGTGTAGTTGGTGGACTTTGTGCGTGACTAGTTGGCTAGTCATTCTTAACGGAAGCCTTGTGTAATTATGTTGATTAGATGGACTGTCATACACCAACCAGACATTATTCTTAGTAAAACTAGCAAGCCGGACAGAATTCAACCGAATCAGGAGTCTTGATGTGTTTTTCAAACTTGAAGTAGTTTTCATTTGACTTCAACACAATGCTCATTCTGCGAGAATCTGAGAAAACAGCCAAATGGTCAAAAACTGTGACAAAAAGGCCAAATGCATTAATGTTATGCATGCATGTGTGTGCTTTCTCATGACTATACTTTTTCTAGTTATTATTGTATTATTACTAAAAAACATGAACTCTGGAAGTTAAACATTTATTTGAATTTTACTTTTGTTGTCATATTAATGTTGATTTTGTCAATACTGACATTGATATTAATTTTAAATACAATGTAAGGGGATTAACTTTATTTAAAAAAAGTTTCAAAATTCATCCCTTAAGTGTTGTATCATAAAAAATAAACACTATTTAAAATTTTAGAATATTGATGCTGATATTTATATAACTATTATAATATTTATATATGATATTGATATTTGCATTGATGTTTTAATATACATTGACATATAGTATAGTACATTTTAGTATATTTTTTGTGGTGGCACAGATTAATTTAGCATCTTCTCAAAGTAAATATGCTAAAACTTTCCAGTGCCATTGTTTACAAATTAACCATTTAATTTAATTTTATAATAAATAAATAACTAAATATATATATATATATATATATATATATAAGTATATTTATACAGTTTCAAAGTTTATCCCCTCTTAAGTGTCACTCAAAACATTTTTTAAATAAAAACTTAGATAAACCCACCAGATGACTTCAATAATTGATGACCCATTCCTAGTTTGAATTAAAAAAATATTGTTTTCAGCAGAATGTAATTCGCCTGCCTTCAGACCGATTTTTTTGTGCAACGCTAAAGAAATGAGAAAAGTAAATTGCTCATCCAGGTTTGTGTGGGGCCCCTCCCGCTCATCAGCCGTCTTTCAGCACACGTATGTTTCCCTGTGATCAAACTTAACCCCTGTGTCCCCTCAGACGACTGCAACAATAAAGCTCCCCACCCACCCCATGGCCCTGAAAGAGCAGCTGTGTAGTTGCATAGCAGCAAATAGCAGTCAAATGCCATCTTTGCTCGGGTTTGACATGGGCTTTCCCCCCTTTCTCATGCAATGGACGAAAAAGAAGCTGTAATTAAGACGTTTTTAAAGAAAAAAATGAAAAGGAGGGGGAATTAACCCACTTCTCCAACACAATACAGTCTCTCCGCAGGGAGACTAAAAGATGGCACGTAAGAAGGAAGTACAAACAGCGAGTGCCTGGCTAGATACGGAGCGTTTTTATGAGACTCTCCCATGATGGAAAACCAGATAGATGGTTCAGGTCGATAACGGCGTGACAGACTTCCTGGGCGCACCGATAAGCCTCACGATGGTTATCTTTTAAAGAGGCTTGTCCCATTACCTGTTGATGGCTCCTGGCGTTCGGTATGCTGAGGTGTTTATCTGCGTGGTTTGTCCTGTGTTGCGGTGGCGTACGGGTCTCGGGAGTTTGAAACGAGTGATTAATGAACAAAGCTTTTCATAACATCTGTGTCAACTGTACCCGATATGAGCGTTTGACTCGCATCAGATCTCAAACAGATCTTTGATGACTCATGAAATCTTGGTAATTTCATTGCTCCTCTATTGTTAGTTGATGGTTTTGTTTGTAAGCTCCCTTCCATCCTGACTGTTGTTTCAGATCAGCGATAAAAGAGGCTGTGACATTTTAAAACGCCAGTTGGCCTTCAGATGTGCGGTTTGAACCTGGCCTCCTATCAGCATGGCACTGTGGTTTCATATTCCGCCCTTGCTTTTGGAGAGCATCTTCTGCTCATCTTGGATACTGTTATACACTTCTCATTTCTCCGGCAGCACAAGCTTTGGCAATAAAGGTTAATAGTCCTTCTTAAGCGTACACAGCGATGTGTGCTTTGGTGAGTGGTTAACCCTTGTCTGGCTGGTCCTGCTGAACTTTGCACCTGTTCATGGAGACTTGCTGGAGAAAGGTTCCAAAAGAGTTTTTCAGCCTGATGCTGTTGGAGAATCTTTTAAAATTCCATATAGTGCCTTAGTTCCTCTTTGACATCAAAAAGGTTCAATTTAAATTTTTTAGTTCTGTATCATATAAGATTGTTTAAATTCCATATGATGTCATAGGAGAACCATTTAAATTTCCATGTCATTTAAGAACATTTTAAAGTCCCATGTCATAGAAGAGCCTTTTTAAATTTCGAGAACTTTTAAAAACTCCATATGGTATCATTGAAGAGCAATTTAAATTTCCATATTATGCCATAAGGCAAATATTTTTTAGTTCCAAATGATGTCACAGAGCATTTGTAAAATCTAAATGATGTCAGAGAATATTAAGTTCCATATACATCATAGAAGAGCTATTTAAAATTACATTCCATATGATGTTAATGAAAGAGAAATTTTAAGTTCTGTATGATGTCATAGGAGAACATTAAGTTCCATATCATATCATGGAAGAACAATTTAAAATTACATTCCTTATGGTGTCAAAGGATAACATTTTAAATTTGATTATTATGCTACAAGCAAAACAATTTAAGAGAGGAGCCTTGTTAAACTCAGTAGGAAATCATAGAAGAACAATTTGTTTCCATGTCAGTAAGGACATTTTCATATGATATTTTTTCTAGTAAGAACAAGTTCCATATGATGTCATAGAAGAGACTTTTTAAATTCCGTATGAAATCATAGGATAACAATTTAAATTTCCATAATATTCCATAAAAAAAATGTTTTTAACATTTAGTTCAGTGTTATTTTACAGAAGAACTCCATATGTATGAAATCATGAAAGAACAGTTGAAATTTCCATATTATGTCATAAGCAAATGTTCCATACGATGTTAAAGGAGAGCCACATATTATGTCATAGAGGACATTTTAAAGTTCCATGATGTCATGGAAAAGCTATTTTAAATTCCATATGATGTCATAGGATAACTTTTTTTAAACCCCAGATATCATATCATTGATTAACACTTTACATTTTCATATTATGTCATAGAAATAGTCATGTTCCGTATGATGTCATAAAAGAGCCTTTTTAAGTTTTGTATGAACGTTTTAAACTCCATATATTATAGAAGAACCTAAAAGTCCATGTTATAGAGAACATTTTAAAGTTGTGATATCAAAGAAAAATATATATGATGTCGAAGAAAAACAGTTCTTGCACCAACCTATAATCTAACATCAAAAACAAATCCCCAAAGAGCCTTACAGTCACATCAAGAACCCTTCAGAGGGAAAATGGTTCTTGATAACTGCCTCTGAAGAGCCTTCATTTTTGAGAGCTCATCTCTAGGTCTTCAAGATGCATTTGGAAATGGGAATGCTGAAGTTATCCATAAACTCAAACTCTATAGTACACCGCAAAGCCCCCCTCCTCCGCACCTCCAAGTCCCCAAGTGCTCATGTTATAAAAATGATAAAGCTGCCGTACCTGTAATTTAAAAACAGATGGTTTCATCTTTTGAATATTTATAACAATCAAAACAATTTCTGCGCTATGTAGCCCAGGGCTATTAAGGTGTTAAATGTTGGGTTTAATGAAAAAGAATCTCAGCTTTTTTTTTTTTTGAGTGGAATGTATTAAAATAGAAGAAGAAAAAGCAGAGGAGATGAATGGGAAATGTGCTGTTAGGGCAGCGAGGAGACGTGAACTCGTTGTGTGGTCTCAACATGCAACTCCGGCTGTGAAAACAGATTGCGAATATGAGTTGCATTCATATAGGGCAGAAATCCCCAAAGCATCATCTGCTTTGCTGTCTGCCTCACAGAGCCTCCTGTATGCATCCACTTTCATACTCTGTGGCATTTGTTAAAGGGACATGTATTTTTTAGTTTATATTTTAGCAGAAGAAATTACATTGCATACGTTTTTTGGATCAAGATATGACACTGTGTACCATATACATAATGTTAAATTGTGCGTAGTACAGGATTTTTTGACAGACTTTCTTATTGTACTGTGAGTAAACATACATTTTAAACGATACAAAATTTTGTCTTGCAGAGTATGATTTCTTCAATTGTTAACAGCACTTACTATGCAAATGTGTCTGCGGCGAAGTGTCAAGAATTCGGACGCTGGTATAAACATTTCAAGAAGACAAAAGACATGATAGGTAAGCCGAATGCTTAACGAACATTTGTGAAGATCACATCTAAAAAAAAAAAGAGATCTGTCTGTCTGTCTATCTGTCTACCTGTTGACTATTTATCTGTATCGATCTATCTGTCTGTCTGTAAATCTATCCGTCTATGTGCGTCTACCTATCTATTTGTCTCTCTATCTCTCAATCTGTCTGACTATCTATCTGTCTGTCTGTCTGTCTGTATCTATATGTCTCTCTATATGTCTATTTGTCTATCTTTTCTGACTTTTTATGTCCGTCTATGTAAGTCTGTCTGTCTGTCTATTTGTCTGTGTATCTAGTCTTTTCCTTGTCTACTTATTTTTAACATGCCTCATTTGTTTGTTCTTTAGATTCAGTTAAAATGCAAATCTAACAAATCCCTGTCAAATATAGACCTATGTTTAGGACAAAAAGCCTTTTTTGACTTCAAAAATCTATCTTTGCCATGCAAATAATAATCAACAGTACTGTTCAAGTGTTCAAACACGCACCTGTCAGTCAGTCAGTCAGGTTGTTATACTGCAGCTCTTGACATCTGCCTCTTGTTTCCTGTTCACACGTTCACTTTTACCCCCACTAACACGCTCTCTCTCTCTCTCCACACCTGTGAATGCGTGTGTTGCGTGTCTGCGCAGTCGTGCGCCAGCCCTCCCAGCTGGAGGGCTACCTGGGGACGTGTGTCCTCCATGACAGTCCACGTGCCACCACGTTAGGTAGGTTACGTGACGCACTGCAACCCTCCCCACCTTATTATTCATGAGCACATGTGCTAATATTCCAATGGCGGCGACACCGTAACTTTGCGTTAACAACTGACGGCAGGCCGAGAGCCTTGTGAGCGGGACAATTAGCGTCAGATGAAACAATCTGCCACAATAAAAACTTGCACATAAACACATCTGTACACAACACTTTTGTCTTTTGTTGTGGCTCTAAATGTTTGCCATATCAAAACAAATGTATTTGTATAGCGCTTTTTACAATACACGTTGCTCAAAGCAGCTTTACAGAAAATCATGTTAATATTTATAATAATGTCTTCTTCATGCTTTATAGTCGCTTTAACAAATTAGAGCTGGGCGATAATATAGTTAAGCAGTTTTTAATCTAAATTAGATTGCTTAATTTCGAAATTTGAAGCAAAAACAGAATGGTCTGACTGAACTAAATTCATCTGATACAAAATTTTGTCTTGCAGAGTATGATTTCTTCAATTGTTAACAGCACTTACTATGCAAATGTGTCTGCGGCGAAGTGTCAAGAATTCGGACGCTGGTATAAACATTTCAAGAAGACAAAAGACATGATAGGTAAGCCGAATGCTTAACGAACATTTGTGAAGATCACATCTAAAAAAAAAAAGAGATCTGTCTGTCTGTCTATCTGTCTACCTGTTGACTATTTATCTGTATCGATCTATCTGTCTGTCTGTAAATCTATCCGTCTATGTTCATCTACCTATCTATTTGTCTCTCTATCTCTCAATCTGTCTGACTATCTATCTGTCTGTCTGTCTGTCTGTATCTATATGTCTCTCTATATGTCTATTTGTCTATCTTTTCTGACTTTTTATGTCCGTCTATGTAAGTCTGTCTGTCTGTCTATTTGTCTGTGTATCTAGTCTTTTCCTTGTCTACTTATTTTTAACATGCCTCATTTGTTTGTTCTTTAGATTCAGTTAAAATGCAAATCTAACAAATCCCTGTCAAATATAGACCTATGTTTAGGACAAAAAGCCTTTTTTGACTTCAAAAATCTATCTTTGCCATGCAAATAATAATCAACAGTACTGTTCAAGTGTTCAAACACGCACCTGTCAGTCAGTCAGTCAGGTTGTTATACTGCAGCTCTTGACATCTGCCTCTTGTTTCCTGTTCACACGTTCACTTTTACCCCCACTAACACGCTCTCTCTCTCTCTCCACACCTGTGAATGCGTGTGTTGCGTGTCTGCGCAGTCGTGCGCCAGCCCTCCCAGCTGGAGGGCTACCTGGGGACGTGTGTCCTCCATGACAGTCCACGTGCCACCACGTTAGGTAGGTTACGTGACGCACTGCAACCCTCCCCACCTTATTATTCATGAGCACATGTGCTAATATTCCAATGGCGGCGACACCGTAACTTTGCGTTAACAACTGACGGCAGGCCGAGAGCCTTGTGAGCGGGACAATTAGCGTCAGATGAAACAATCTGCCACAATAAAAACTTGCACATAAACACATCTGTACACAACACTTTTGTCTTTTGTTGTGGCTCTAAATGTTTGCCATATCAAAACAAATGTATTTGTATAGCGCTTTTTACAATACACGTTGCTCAAAGCAGCTTTACAGAAAATCATGTTAATATTTATAATAATGTCTTCTTCATGCTTTATAGTCGCTTTAACAAATTAGAGCTGGGCGATAATATAGTTAAGCAGTTTTTAATCTAAATTAGATTGCTTAATTTCGAAATTTGAAGCAAAAACAGAATGGTCTGACTGAACTAAATTCATCTGAATAATGACATTTTTGACATTTTAGAGCTGCTTCACAACTGAAATGGAAGAATTTTGCAGCATTAAAGATTCCATAGTTCACCTATGCAAGTCAATGGGGACCAGCAACTAAAGCTGAACTATCCCCTTTAAGTCGTTCCAAACCTCTATGAGTTTAATTCTTCTGTTGAACACAAAAGAAGATATTTTGAAGAATGTTGGTTACCAAACAGTTGCTGGTAGCCATTGACTTCCATAGTATTTTTTCCTCTGATGCAAGTCAATGGCTACCAGCAACTGTTTGGTTACCTACATTCTTCAAAATATCTTCTTTTGTGCTCAACAGAGGATGAGTGAATGATGATTTTTGGGTGAACTATGCCTTTTTAAGGCTGTTATTTTCCTGTTCATTACTGTGATGCTGTTTTGAAACCGTCTGTATTGTGTATATAGTGCTACATAAATAAATTTGACTTGATTTTTTTCCAAAGTGACTTATATTGCATACAAGTTATGTTATGTTGCATTCAAGTTATGGGTTTAATCAGTTCATGCATTCCCTGGGAATCGAACCCATGACCTTGACATTGCTCTATTGTCTAAACTGCAGGAATGCGAAGCTATAGTTATGCCAAGGTTATGGGTTTAACTCCCAGAGAACACTGCTAATGAGAAAGTGCATGTCTTGAATGCACTCCCTATTGTAACTGGTTAGTCCGCAGTGGATTGCGTTTCATAAGTGGTCAGTGAGAGGCCGGTCTCGCAACATCTTGCAGAGTGTGGCAAGCCGTCTCTACCGCAGTAGCACTCCCATTCAAACACAGCTGGGCTGGAGAGCGAGCGCCCGCCGTGCCGTAGGGTTTTACCTCCCTCCCCTCAGCCCACATTCTCTCTCCCATTGTGCTCCTAATCCCAGCCTGCTTTGTGGCGAATTCCACAGAAGGGTCTCCGGTTCTCTGTGTCGCCGCTGCAAACGGGGCCTGCGAACGCTTTCTTCCAACCTTTTCAATTTGCATGGAAAAGCATGTGCCCCCCGGCAGTTTTCAACACCAAAAAGACAACTGAGAGGCATACCGTAACATCCGAGCACAGGAATGATGGGGATTATGGGAGAGCTTTGATTATTACCCAATTTTTTGTTTGTTTTTGTTTTTTTCTTTCCCTCTCACTTTCTGCTTATATTGAAAAGAACAGCCGTGGCTTTGTGCTCGCTGTCAGTCAAGACACATGTTTGCATCCTTGTGGTTATTGTGGATATCTCTGGAGAGTTTCCATGCGCTTAATCTGGTTTTTATCTTCCAGTTGAAATATTTATATTTTGATGATTTGTCATAATGATTTTTTTGCACTCTATAAAATCCGTAAGATTGTCCGCGCTAGTAGGTGATGGGTATTGTATTTCTTGTTTTTTTTTTTTTTTTTTTTTTTTTTAAGTAATATCTTTCAGCTGACTACCTGTGTGTCAGGAAAGCACAATGCTTTAGTCCTTTAAAGGATTGGTTTACAATTTTTTGCTATATTTACTCGGCTTTACATTGTTCCAAATCCATATGCTGTTATTTTTCCATGCAACACAAAAAGAGAAATTTAATAAATCTTCAAGCAGCTCTTTTCAATATTCATAGTGACCACATCTGTCAAAAATCTGCAATAAGCTGTGAAATGACAAAAAAAAAGCACTAAAAGTAGTCCATCTTTCAGAAAAGTGACAGATTATGGGTTTAGAATTATTTCTTTAAATTCACACATTCATAAGTACTTTTAAATTTTCATATTTTCAAGCATGTTTGCCACCACACCTTATTTTCTATCCGCTCAGTCTGGCCTGTTTAAGAGACCATGCTCTGGGCTTCCAGCGCATCACGCTCTGGTTATGTTTAGACTTTCCCAAAATTTAATATTAGCCAGCTTGTGTACCTTGTTTTAGAATTAAGAGCATAAAGGGCGATTCAAGTGTATGGCTCTCTGGCTCGGTCCATGTGAAGATGTCCTGCTCGCTGCTTTAGCAGAGCGCCCACACTGCCGTGTTGTTATTGCTCACATGATTTGGCCATGGACATTATAAACTAATTTCTGGTGCTGCCAATTTATGCAGATACAGGTCACACACTGTGCCCCATCATATTAGAGAGGTTGTATTGGGTTACTGTAGTAATGGCAGGCTGGAACGGGCTTGATTAGTGTTTTTTTTAGCTTGAAACTCTTGCTTTTTGACTTCAGGTCATGTCCAATTTGTTATGAAAGTGTTTACTATTTTATATTGATGCGTTTTGTGATGAATTCTGTTCATCATAGAGTAGTAATAAGGCAATTAATCACTCATTTTGAAAATATCAGCATGCCCATTTGTCCAGTTAAGTGATAGTTTCTGACGTTCCTTTTTTATAACATTTATTGTTAATTTTTATTCATTAATTTTCAGAATTCATTTCTAAATTTTATTGTGTTAGTGATCGTAAAAGTATCAATATATTCTGGTACCAAGTTGATACTAAACTAAAATGAATATTTTTTTAATGTTAGTATGTTATAGAGTTTTGAATTGCATTTTAAAAAACAAATATGTTTTTTATGAGGTAATAATGTAAACACTGACAGTTCATCTTAAAGTCAGATCATCTCTGCGCATTAGACCTAATAGACCTGCCGCTGTCTTTTTTTGTTGTTAATATGAATCCAACAACACAATATTGACAGGAAAAAGAGAAAAGCACTTTCCGGCTTTTCTATTAATGACTGTTTACATGAATAAATACTTGAAACAATATTTACTTAATTGAGAAATGCTTGCACTACATGCCACTAAAAACTGAGCTTTTGTTTAGACTAACATCATCAGCAGCTTTTATTGAGGCAAGCCAAACCCTGTTTATTAACATGCTTCATCTTCTTTGTGTCCACCTATAGCTGAGATGGACAGTCTGTCTGATCTTTCTCCACCCGGAACCAACCACCTCAGCTTCAGTCAGCAGCCCATCCCGGGCAGCACGGCCGAGCAGTCCCCGTCCCCGGTGCCCCTGTCCCACAGCAGTCAGGCCCCCAGCCGTGCCCAGCTCCCCGGCCTGCACCCCGGCCTGGTGTCCACCCCCATCAGCCCCCAGCTGGTGAATCAGCAGATCGTCATGGCTCAGATTCTCAACCAGCAGTACGCCGTCAACCGTCTTCTGGCCCAGCAGTCCCTGAGCCATGCCGCTGTCTTTTTTTGTTGTTAATATGAATCCAACAACACAATATTGACAGGAAAAAGAGAAAAGCACTTTCCGGCTTTTCTATTAATGACTGTTTACATGAATAAATACTTGAAACAATATTTACTTAATTGAGAAATGCTTGCACTACATGCCACTAATTTAATTTATTCATATTTATAATAATATATATTTTTAAATAGAGTGGGTTCAGTAGCATATTAGATGCAGTGGTATCGAAATTAGTATCTAGAAACATGAAATTTCACTGCTTTTGGGATCAAACTTTTTTATTATTATTGTGACATCCCTACATATATTTTATTTTTACTACTTTTTTTATTGTATATTTTTTTTATTTTTGTTTGATTTATTTTGTATATATTTATATTTATTTATTTTATATAATAAATTTCTTATTTATTGAAATCGATGTAGAGTAACAAGAGGGCGGGAATCTCCCAGGCTGTATTTGCCCGTGTGGCCTTCAACAGGACGCAGGTACATATATTTGGATTATAATATATGATACATTTGGAATAAAAGTGCCTTTTGAGATAAAAGATAAACATATTACATGGGGCAAGATTATCACAAAATGATACATTTTTAGCAAAGTTGTCTGTCTAATCCTAGTTAGACAGATTTGTCTTCTCACATCGACTACAAAAACCTAGCAAGCTGTCTACATAATAATTTGATTATTTTTGTTTAGTAACTTTTTGTTTATTTATCTTAGTTATAAAAATGGTCAAACAAAAAATCATGAACCGTTTTTTGTTATCGAAAGAAGTCTCTTATGCAAAGCGTAATGATGATTTCTAAGATATCATCTTTTGGACATTCCCTTAATGCACTGCAACTAGCAGAGTAGAAGGAATCCAACCAAAACGGCAGATAAATGTTTTCAATACTGGAAAATATTGATTAAAAAAATATTCCAGTCTAGTTAGTTAGATGGCAATATTTGTTTTTTCTGTCATTTTTTTATTGGAATATGGCAAAAATAGAGGAATTTTCAAGAGGTGATTAAATAGCGCAATCTGGAAAGAATTGAAAGTAATCTTTTAAGAATGATTGGGTGATTTTTGTAAAGAATCTATATAGAAAATAAAAATGTTTACTTTTTTTATTACTTTTTACTCCAATAATTTTTGGGTGATAATCATCACGAACAATTTTGAAAAAAAACCTTTATATTCTTTACAAGAACCAAATCAAGTAACCATAAAGTCAATGGAGTTAAAACATAAATCAACAACAACAAAGTCATATTCCCCTTTTTTTCATACAATAAAAATAATATAATTTTAAAAATAAAATTTGAGTATTTAATAAAAATAATTATAATAATTAAAATAATATTTTTTTTTTATACAAGAAAAATACTGTTATTTATTTTTAATGTCTTTTATTTTCAAATTTTAAATCTTTGAGCTTTTATTTTGGCGGGAAGCCCTTAAAGCTGTTGCTTTGTTGGCATCCGGTTTATATATGACTTTTGTTGCAAATCTAGTAAAATTGGTAGCACATGCACGTTACAAGAGACCCAAACTCACAGCGCTTGCAGAAGTGGAGCATTTACTGTGAAATCACCAAATAATGAGCTGCACACGTGTAAATGAACACAGTGCTGCGCTTTGCTCTGAAACTCACTGCGCATGTGTTTATTTAAAGTGATTTTATTTTGATGTTTTGTGCAGCTTTAGCATGTACCATACAATGATTCAGATCTGTGTTTGGATGCTGTCTTTGAAGGCAGCTGTCTATGTAGGTGCTGTCCAGTAAGGCAGATCACTAGGATTTGGAACAGAGCCATTAAGAATGTTGTTTTGGTAGATGTGTCAAATTATTTTGTTGACGATTATAAATGCTGAATCATAGCCCCAGCTCCGCCCCAGCCCCATACATCAGCTCTGACATGTTCGTGTGATGCTTGCCACTACACGCTCTGTACATCATTAAAATTCACCATGCCTTGCTAATATAGTGACAGCAGGAACACTCACAGTTAGATGGTTTATCTGCTTTTGTTTTGAGATCAACACAAAGTGCCCAATCGTCCAGTAAATGCAGGGTTATCAGGACTAAAAGCAGGCGAGCATTTTTCTCACAGATATTGCATCTCATCATTCAATCAAAAACTTTACAAATCATCAGCTTCCTGGCAGGAGTAACTGATCACTGACTCACGTCTTTTGGTTCGCACGCCCATGGCTTTGACCTTGTTTTTCGTCACTGCATGCAATCTGTTGTCAGCCCTGAGCTGTGACAGGACACTTATTAGCGGTGTGGGCTAAGGCAGACATCACTATTGTTATTGTTCATTCAAATCATTACATTTTCCAACCAAAAACTCATTCCTCACTGCTTGTGCTGTGTTATTGTGCATGAAGGATACCTCAAATTGTGCAGCTTATTGAATGAGGTGTGTAGATTTACGGTTTTCCCTCAACAGGCAAAATTTGCTTTTGAAAGTATTTGAGAATTCACTGTAAAATATTTAGAAAATGAGATATATATATATATATATATATATATATATATACAGTATATGTATGTGTATATATATACATATACATATACGTATACATACATTATATATATATATATATATATATTTATTTATTTTTATTTATTTATTTTTTACTGATACTAGGCAAAATGACCACAGATTATTGTCTGATCAATATATGAGTCAACTACTAAGAGTGGAAATCATCAGGGATAATTTATCAAGATCTAATTTATGATAGGTTAATATTATGATGCTTTTCTTGTTGTTATTTTTTAGTTATTAAAAATTGTCATACAATTAGGGTCAGATTTTTTTTTACAGAATTCTCTGATACTCGCCAAGACTGCATTTATTTGTGCAATAATACAGTAAAAACATTCATATTGTGAAAGCTTTTCAATTTAAAATATCTGTTTTCTATTTTAAAATTTATTCTTTAATGAATAGAAAGTTCAAAGCAGCATTTTATTAGATTTTTTTTTTGTTACAATGTACACGTCTTTACTGTTACTTTTAATCAATTTACTTCAAAATATAATTATTTTTTATTTATTTATCTGCATTGCGCTTCAGCCTTTTGTACAATTATTTTCCGTTTGAGTTTGGATTTGTCAAATTAATTGAGTGTCACTGTACATTTTCCTCAAAATATTATTGCACAAATCAGGGTTAATATTGTTACCTAAAACTAAAACCCTAAAAAAAGTTCATTACTTGGAAAAAAAAAAGCTATAAATATGTATGCAAATGTATTTTATTTCAGCTAGTTGCCAAGGCAGCATTTCTCATTTTCATTTGGGTTAAAGGGGTCATGAACTGCCTTTTTTATTATTTTGTACTGTTCTCTGAGGTCTATTTATAATGTTATTAATGGGGTCATATGATGCTGCTAAAAAGAACATTATTTTGTGTATTTGGTGTAATGAAATGTGTTTATGCGGTTTAAGGTTCAAAAAACACATTATTTTCCACATATTGTACATTATTGTTTCTCCTCTAAGCCCCGCCTTTCTGAAATGCGTCGATTTTTACAAAGCTCATCGGTCTGAAAAGCGAATACCTGATTGGCCGAATACCTCAAGCGTGTGACGGAAATGTTACACCCTTGCCATATTGTGATTCTCTTTCCTAATGTTGGGATCAGAAGGAAGGCGATGCAAAGACTCTGTTCTTCCACAACTTGGCACTGTACAGCGGTTGTTGTCTTCTGAGCACCTTTATTGTTTGATTTCTGTGTAGACCTGCGTTTGCCTCTCTCGTTATTTACACTGCATGCATGAATCAGTGGGCGGGGCTAAACAGGCAGTGTCATAGAATCGGTGGGCGGGGCTAAACAGGCAGTGGCATAGAATCGGTGGGCGGGGCTAAACAGGCAGTGATCTTCTCTTGCAGAGGCGGGGCTTAGCCACACTATTACGTCATAAAGTGGCACATTACACAATCTGTCATTTTGGCAGACTGGCTTCAATATAAGCTGTTTTTAGCCTAACGAGAAAGTTTTGAGTTCTGAAACTTACAGGATCTTTTTCTATGGTACAATGACCTCTTATATGGGAATTTAGATTTCTCAGTTCATGACCCCTTTAAGTTAAAATACTAAAATAGCCAAGACTAAAGCTAAAAACTAAAATGTAATAAATGCTATACAGACATATTAAAAAAAAGAGAAACTAATTAAAAAATTGCCAAAAACACAAAAACAATCTCTAAAAATGTCATTAAAATTGAAAGTGAAAACAGAAAATTTACAAAAAAAATCTACATCAAAATTTTCACAAATTATAATATTATATCAGTGATACTAAAATTACTCTGGTGAAAACTTAAAGTCTTGATGGTGATAAGATCTGTACCATATTGTGAAGTAAAATATCACAATACTTTGTCCCTGTATCAATTCATGAAAGCACCCAAACAACCTAACAAATGCTGGGAAAGTTGTCAGACAAACTCAGCATTGTGGGGATTTTTCACTAGTTGTTATTAGTACAGTCCCGCCTTGACAACTGTCTGCCATCATCAGGTGAGACAAAGAGAGACATACCTGGCCGTGTGCCAGCGGCGGGGGGTGGGTACTGGCTCGGCCGCGGACTGTCACCGCAGCACGCATGAGCGACTGTTGCTGGAGACAGCGGGAAGATAATGTCTCGTGACGTTCTGCATAAAACCCCCATTTGGCAGGAAGTGACTTTGATGTTGTGTTAGAGCGATAGGATAGGAATCTATAGGAATCGGAGGCTGCGTCATGACAGGCGTGTTTGCACAAATTGGCCTTTAGTTGCGCTGGGAAGAATTTGCAATGGAATTTTTTGTTTCCACAGAGCCCTTAAATATTTATTGTACATCCTTCCCCACATGTGAATCATGGCTTCTTGTGGTGGCATGTCGTGGCGTCTCAGAGTCAAAATGTTTATGTGGGTTTGGTGGCCCAATTTTAGGTTTTATTATGCAAAGTGCATTAACCTTGATGGTGTTTGATAGTATTTGATCGAAAGTGTTACTGACCAATCCTAGCTTAGCAGCCTTTGGCTTCTACCAGATTTTCAGGCTATCTTTTGCTCTTTTCTAACATACATTTCTGTTAAAGTAAAAAAAAAAAAAAAAGTTTGGGTTCAGTAAGATTTTTTTTTATGCTCACAAAGGCCGGATTTATTTGATCAAAGATACACTAAAATTTAGAAATATTTGAATATATTTTAAAATGTAATTTATTCTGGTGATCAAAGCTGAATTTTCAGCATCATCTTCAGTGTCACATGATCCTTCAGATGTCATTCTAATATGCTGCTCAAACATTTCTTATTATTGATGTTGAAAACAATTATGCTGCTTCATGTTTTTGTGGAAACAGTGATGCATTGTTGTAACATTTTTTGAATTTTATTTATTTATTTATTTTTCATTTTTGTAATATTATAAATGTCTTTATCGTCGCGTTTTGATCAATTTAATGCATCCTTGCTGAGCATTAATTTCTCTAATAAAATAATAAAAATTTTATTAACATCCTGTGTATTTGGATAGTAGTAAACAAAAATGATTATAAAACATGATGAATGTGTTGTAGAAACATTAGGAACAATTCTGTCCACTTGTAATCGGATTTTCCTTTTTTCAGTGACTTTAAGAAGCATTTCTGATTCTGATGTCTTTGTAGTTTTAATCGCATTACTGTATAATTTAACTTATTTGTAAAGAAAGGCTTTGTAATGTCATAATATCCATTACATTTTTAGCGCTGCTTTAGATTACTTTAATGAAAAGCACTTTTAACAGAAATATCCAATTTATTCCTATGGGACAGCTGTAACTAAGGTGGGCAGAGCTTATCGACGGGTCAATTGCTTTGTCGCGTATGGAGTGGAGAGAAAGTTTTAATTGTTGCTCTTTGCTAAGAGGACGATGCGTTTATTTCTGTGTCTCTCCCAGGGTCTTCTGTCTGAGATTCTTAGAAAAGAGGAAGACCCCAAGATAGCGTCTCAGTCGCTCCTGGTCAACCTGCGAGCGATGCAGAACTTCCTGCAGTTACCGGAAGCGGAGCGCGACCGCATCTACCAGGACGAGAGGGAGCGCAGCTTGACTGCGGCCTCTGCTATGGGCCCTGCTCCCCTCATCAGCACCCCTCCCACACGCCCTGTACAGGTAACGCTCAAATCGCACTCCAATGGGCACTAAAAGATCAGTTCTCCTTCGTAGAGTAAAAGGTGTGCTGTAGGGTTGTAACCTTTGGTGCATGGCAAAAACAGTTTATTTATTGTATTTTTGTCTTGTTTTCCAGTTAAAATATCTATGCATCCTTAAAACGAGATCAATTTATTTGGATACATTTTATTTATCAAAGACAGAAAGAATATATCTTGAATTAGGTTCATTTTTCTTGCTTTTTTGGGAAAAGTATTTTTTTCTTGTTTTATGCATAAATCTAACAGATTTAAATAGGTTATGTGTCTTGTTTATTTATATTTTATAAAAGCAAAAAACAATGTTTCTTGAGTTAGATTTGTTTTTCTTACTCTGTTGGCAAATGTTTATATTTTATGCTGAAGTCTAACAGATTTAAATAAATTCTCTTTCTTAGTTATATTTTTATAAACACTAATAAAAATATTAGTGTTACTATTAGTATCACTATAAATATTAGTATCACTAACAAAATTACTACAACATTAACTCAAAACAGAAAATATAATCTTAATTCAAAATATGAAACAAGATGAATTTATTTGGATACATTTTACTTATCAAAGACACAGTGAATATATCTGGAATTAGGTTAATTTTCCTTACTCTGTTGGCAAATGTTTTATTATATTTTGCAATTTTGTTAATATTTTGCAAAGCAAAAATCCTTTTTTTTTTTTTGGAATAACATGCACTGATCATTCATTCACAGTAAGACCACAGACATGCATTAATATAGTAAATGGGGTCATGTTGAATTTAAATAGATTCTGTATTCTCACTTATGTAAATGCAGGTGGAATTGAACACTCAGACTCAGTTTCAGAACAAATATTTAGCATGCTCTCACTCACTAACATAATGAGTGATTAGCTAAGGTGTGTTTTTTATCAGTCATCGTCAGAGTATTTGCTTTGCGCAGACTGGAATGTAATGCGTAAATTCCTGAGGACCCCTGCCAACTGCTGGAGAAATGACTTTATTTTAACATACATAAAAAAATTTCCACTGCAGCTTTACTCGCATGAACAGAGTGTAAGTTTGTACTAGCAATAGAAGATGGGGAAAACCTGTTTGGTAAAGGTCATTATTTTTGCAGTTCTGTTTGGTGTGTCCAGAAATGATGCACTGCGGCTTTAAATGACAGTGTATTATAGTAATGTGTTGGTCAGGAGCTCACACACATGATAGTTTATACTAACACAACCACAAGCACACACACCATTGCAACCCCACAACTAGAACTCTGTATTTACAAATCTTGACTGACATGCAGTTAAGTACAGATGCAATAATACAGACTAAACAAAGCATTTCCCAATGCCTTAAAGCAAGACACTATACTGGCAAAACCTTTTTTTTTGTTTTTTCAGGCACTTGTCAATTTTGAGATTTTAGTCTATTTTGCTTATGTAATGTGATGACTTTTTGCCTAGTGAAAAGAAAACATCAAAAATATATGTTTTAAATGTTTATACATTTAATCTATTTGCGGCTATACATTTTAATTACAATACGTGGCTGTTTTCTCAAACTGAGCCAGAAATTTCCACTTCAGTAGCACTTACATCTAACAAACTTTACAATTGTATTCTTATTTATGTTTCTAGGCATAAAATGTACACGCATAACATTTTATGCCTATGGTGAAAATGCTTTTTTTCCTGGCTGTTGGCAATATTTTCTGATTTATGAAGTGATAAACTGAAATATCCAAAATCCCCTTTGTATAAATCTTTAATGTCACCTGTAATGTCAACAAATTAAAACTGGCTTTATCCAGTGTACAGATTTCTGTTCTGGAGTTGTATGCAAATGAATGCATATTTAATTATATAATGCCTCTTTTGCATATTTAAACGTAACATTTCAGAAAACTTGTAATACAAGTTTGATTTGTCCTGTGTTTGATTTATTAATAGTGGTGTTAACAGCTGGAAACATTACATTTATGCATTGTAAATTTTATGCATTTAGCAGACGCTTTTATTCAAATATTAAATGCACCACCTCTATTTTTTTAATTCTGTACTGTTATTGCCGATTACCAATGCAAAAGTGTCAGCACATCAATGCATCTGTACTTTGGTGGAAACGTTTAATGCAGGAAAGATATCAGGAAGCGTTTCTTTCACTCTCAGCCGTTCTAGATCTCCAAACTCTTCAAGCAGGGCCAGAAAGGTATGCAGAGTCTCCTTCAAACGCAGTTGAGTGTGTCTTAGTGGATCGGACACAAAGCCTTCCTGTGTGTGATGGACTGAGGAGGCTCTTTTATACAGGAGAAAAACTCCCTCACACACAGAATGTGTAAAGACCGAAATGTCATCAGTGTTCACTCAAGTGTGCACGCATTTGTGTGTGCGCTTGCGTGCATCATGTCCTAGTGTGTGTGTGCAAACCAGATGCTGCTTTCCTGTTCAGATTCCATTATCAGATGGTTCTGTAACCTGTTTATTCAGCAACTGCGCCTAATTCGTCAGTCTCGTACAACGCTGGGCAAAAGTCTCCATTATCTGATGATATTTGTTCAAATTGGTGAAATTTTGAATCAAAGAGCATATCGATGCACTGCTTGACACATATAATGGCTGTGTTCCAAAACCTAGTGTTTCCTTGGTGCATAAGCAGCATCCTAACTGAAATGGAGCCTCAGATTTGGAACGTTCTACATAGGCAGCAAAAAGCATAAGCATCTAATAAGCATAAAAATGTTTAGCACGCACAAATATTGGGTTATTTAAACATTCTAAATTGTATTTTTATTTATTTTATTATGATATAATTAATGTTATTATTTTGTTAGTACTTTTCAGTATTTTATTTATTTTAACATTGTAAATTTTATTTTAATTTATTTCAATTTAATATAATTAATGTTATTTTGTTAGTACTTTTCAGTATTTTATTTATTTTAACATTCTTAATTTTATTTTAATTTATTTCAATTTAATATAATTAATGTTATTTTGTTAGTACTTTTCAGTATTTTATTTATTTTAACATTCTTAATTTTATTTTAATTTAATATAATAATGTTATTATTTTATTAGTACTTTTCAGTATTTAATAAATTATATTTTATAAATATTAGATAAAATATTAAATATTTTATATATATATATATATATATATATATTTAAACATTTTTATCTAAATATATTATTATTAAAAATACTTTTTGAACTTGATGCTTTTTATATGCATGTTTAGGTTAACTTTGTTGTCTGTGTTTGAACATGCCATCAGTCAGATAACATTTTGTCCATCATTGGCTCTTTTGCATAAAATGTTTGATAAAGCAGGTCCAGGTAGAGGGAAGTCTTTTGATGCATGGCAGCTTGATGCTGACAGATATGAGTGAGATGTTCGCAGGATATTTTCTGCTGTAAATCAGCAGGGTGGAATGTCTTGCAGTGCTGCAGGGCTTTTATGGCGGTCATAAAAACGGATGTGAAGGTATGTTTCCCACATACGTTAATGGATCGTCAGACAAGTTAGTGCACGCTCATCCCTTTATAATCAGATATGGTCACAAAATAACTCGGCCTAGACACTGATGCTTCACATGCAAATGACTGATGTAGGTGCCGCTGTGCTGACAGCCTCTTCAGCGGTTCTGCTGTGGCAGTTTGGAGACCCTTCATGTTAAAAAAAAAAAGTTATAGCCATGTTTTCAAGTTGTTTTGCTGCAGAAATCACTGCTGTGTGATAGAAATCTGATCATGTGTTACTAGAGTATTCTGATCAGTCCGATTAAGTGTTATTTTAACCTATTGTTTTAAACATTTGTGTGTGTGTGTGTGTGTTCACAGCCCAGAAGAGAGGAGTGTAACAGTGTGAGACCAGAAGACTGGAATCCCAGAATTCCAGTGGGCATCTCTCCTGTGAGTGCACATATGGTACACTGTTTATGCAAAAAGTGATGCAAGATTTTGTCCTTGATTATAAACCTATGTACATATATATTATTAAAAAGATTTGCTAAAATAATAATTAAATAAATTGTAATGTATAATAATAACAATTATGTGATATATTTTAGATATTAAAAATAATAATAATTATTAACAATTGTTGTTGTTTTATTATTATTTCATATATATGTTGTTCAAAAGTTTTTGAAAGAAGTCTCTTCTGCTCACCAAGGCTGCATTTTATTTGATAAAAATAAATATGAAAAATTACTGTTTTCTATTTGAATATATTTTCAGATTTAATTTATTTCTGTGATGCAAAGCTGAATTTTCAGCATCATTACTTCAATCTTCAGTGTCACATGATCCTTCAGAAATCATTCTAATATGCTGATTTGAAAAACATTTGTTATAATTATAATTTATTATTAAACATGTATTATATTATATTATTAGCTTTTTTAACTAAATAAATGTCTTTACTGTCACTTTTGATCATTTTAATGCATCCTTGCTGAAAAAAAAAACAATTCTTTCATAAATAAATAAATAAAAATCTTACTGACCCTAAGCTTTTGAAAAATTGTGTATGAAATAATGTATGTGTGTATGTGTGTGTGTATATATATATATATATATATATATATATATATAATTTTATATAGTTTATATTATTATTATTGTTAACCTTCTTGTTTGAAAGTGCATTAAAAATGTAAAAGTCTATCCATCTACCTAACTTTTTTTTTTCTTGTTGCATGATTTGTCCTCTGCTCAGGTGAGGCCCAGCCCTCTGACCTCGGAGTGGAACGGGAAATCTGAGAACTGCGTGTTAAACATCAACTCCTCCATCTACGACGAGATCCAGCAGGAGATGAAGAGGGCCAAAGTGTCCCAGGCCATGTTCGCCAAGGTCGCTGCCTCGAAGAGCCAGGTACGGCCCGCTCCGACTTCGACTTTCACCAGCCTATCATGCTTGAACCGCTCGTCCGGTTGACAAAACATTGTCAAACATTTTTGTGTACAGCCTACAGAAAGCTCAGATAGCGAGATAAAAGCGTAAAAGGAGAGCTTTGTTAAGCCTCGCAGGTAGCGCAGCGCCGTAATGACTTGCGCTGCTTTATTGTGGGCTTGCGGACAGCAGACAGTGTTGCAACATAAAACAAATGTGTTTATATAATTCAGCTGTGCAACGATCACACTGTTATCTTACAAAGTGAACAGCCTTCTGCTGAATACAGGCCTCTGTGAGAAACATTACCGTCTGTTTTAGCCTATTAAAACTAATTAAAGAAACGCAAGGCGAGCCCCATTATTAAAGGTTTCACATATCTATGTGCACACTTAAAGATTTTCACAATTACATCTGATGGGGGAGGGGAACGTGAATGAAAGCCCTAAATTATCTAGAAATATCAGCAGGTTTTTGCTGATTGCACTGATTACGGTGCCAGATACTTTTGTTTCACCAAATTACAGTTTGATGCACAAACCACTGTTTTTGTAGAAGGGAGTTCAAAGCCGAGAAGGGTGGAGGAGAGAAAAGACAAACCGGGGCATTTATTCACGTAAGATTCTCGTCTAGAATGACGGTTTGAGAGAAAAGAGCCCCCTCTCTGCCTGAGCCTGTGTGCTCCATTCATGGCTGGTGTGAATGTGAATTGAGCAGCAGATAAGAACTGTGCTAATTACGCAGCTGAAAAAGGGGCCTGGGAGAGCACTTATCTCCGGCTCCATCTCGTAATGTGCGCTCCCCGGGCAGCTGGTACCCCCTCCTTCCCGTTCCCAGCCCCCTCTGCGGGGCCCACGGGGCCCGCCAGCTGAATGTCCGGCCGGTGCCGAGCGCCTGGCGGTGCTGGTGCAGATGCAGAGCAATCGTATTTACAAAACAGGCGCTACGATGTCGTAATTAGCGGTGGGGAAGCTCTTTTCCAATTGAGGCGTGACGATTGAAGAATCATAGAGGGAAGTCAATTGGTATCAGCCATAATTACTGTACGTTTTCATTGTGATCGGTCAGTTTGGTGGCATTTTGAGGGCTTTTAATGAAGAATAGTGATCAGTCTTGCCTGAAACTTCTCATTTTGTCATTTGAGGCGACAGGCCAAAGCTACATTTCTTATTACCAATGATGAAAACAGTTGTGCTGCTTAATATTTTTGTGGAAACGGTGATACATTTTTCTTTCATAATTCTTTGATGAATAGAAAGTTCAAAAGAACAGCATTTATTTGAAATAGAAAACTTTTGTAGCATTATCTTTACGGTCTTTACTGTCGCTTTTGATCAATTTAATGCGTCCTTGCTGAATAAAAGTATTAATTTCTTTTAAAAAGTTGAACTGACCCCAAACTTTAGAATGATAGTGTATGAAATAATAAATAAATTATTTTTGTGTAGTAGTAATAATAATAATACATTATTTTTATTATTAATATTATTATTATTATATAGTTTATTACAGGCCAAAGCTACATACAAATTATATTCTTAGAACTGTTATCTTTTTAGAATGTAAAATAGCAAAATAAATAAATAAATGAAATAAAATTATGAAATGCATTCTGACTGAAGTCCAATTTATGATTTCTGAACCAAGTAGGATGTCAAACTTGGTAACAATTCACAATAAGTTCCCATTAGTTAGTGTTAATGCATGAACTAAAACTCAAAAGCCTTCACTACAACCTGCTAAAATGCTAAAGTTTGGCTTAATTTGAAGAAATTATGACGGAAATATATTGTACAGTAGAATGTATTTCAATACAGTTAGTAAAACAATATCCCAATTTTTTGTCCATATTTTAATCATAATTTCATTTGATTGCATTTTAAAAGATCAATTAAATTTGTTAAAGTTGTATATATTTGTATGATTGCCACTGTTTTTCATGAATGCATTTGTATGAAACCATAAAACACAGAATTCAGAAACATTTAAATGGAAAAACGGAATTTGGGGGGGGGGGTTAAACAGATTTCATAATTTTTTTTATTGATTGATTATAACTTCATTGACTTATATTTTAAAAGACCAATTAAATTGTTAAAGTTTTATGCATTCAAATGATCACCACTCTTTTGGTTATAAATTTGTATTAAATCATAAAACAGAATTCAGAAAAAAATTAAAACTGAAAACAGAATTTGGGGCAAAAAACAAATTTCATAATTTAATTTGATTACATTTTAAAAATATCAGTTAAATAGTTAAAATTTTATGCACTCATATGATTACCACAGTTTTAATAATAAATTTGTGTTAAATCATAAAACACAGAATTCAGAGAAATTGAAACCCGGAAACTGATTTTGAGAAAAATAAAACACATTTCATAATTTCATTTGATTGATCATTATTGCATTTGATTTACATTTTAAAAGTAAAAAAAAAATAAAAAGAAGAGAGGGAAAAAAAAGAAAAAGAAACTGACTTTGGGGGAAAAAAAAATAAAGCCAGCCTTTAGATTTTATAGGGCCCTCATGTTAGCTTAGATCGATTAAATAATATTAAAAGATACGACTTTTGATTTTAAGATTAATAAATGCTTTCAAATTATTTTTCTTAATTAGTTTAAATATAGTTAACAAATGTTAGCAAATGAACCCTTATTGTAAAGTGTAGCCACAAACTGTGTGTGTTTGTGTCTGTCCCTCTCACCCCCTGCCTGGCTGAAGGACCTCAGGGTCCTGGATGGCGTGTGGTGGGAGGTGTTTTGCCGTATGGTTATCTTCCGTGGCGTGTCAGATTAATTGGCGCGTCCATCAGTGCAGGAATCCTCGTCCGTAGCGGAGGTAGACTGCAGCAGCACTGGCCGCAGCACATGCTAGAGATCTGGCACAGGCCGTGGGTTTGGCTTCCGCAGCCACGGGGCTCCAGACTCGGCCCAGCTCTGCCCTCGACGAGAGCCATGGAGATGGGAGGTGTTGAGGGGGAGGCGCAGCGCTCATCCCCTGGGCTTTCAAAGCTGTAAACAGTAGTTTGAGGGGGCTAAAGAGAGTCATCGCATGTGTGTGTGAGCGTGTGTACCTGCTTACTCATGTGGCCGCGTGTACGACTGTGGTGTAAAGGGGTGTGTGTGTGTGCTGTTTATTGGGGGATGGGCACTGGATCGGAGCCATGCCGTCCCCCTCTCTGGGCACACATCCATACAGGACGTGAATGCCAGGCTTTATCTATTTGGTGGCACTTTCATATTCCGAGTAGCATTTCAATTCATTTCTCCTCCTGCACCACAGAAAAACCACTATTTTTGCAGCTTGTAAACTGAAAAAGAAACCTATAAATTGTTTATTTGTACGCTCTCGTTGATGTCTATTGCAGAGTTTGCGAAAATTGTGATGTGTTGTAGGTGAAACGAAAGCTGTTGAGGTTCTAGTAGTGAATTTCTTTCCTTCCCTCCTTCAGTGCAGGATATTTTCGCCTGTCCAATTGTAGTTTTTATTTAAAGCATCATTCATATGGCACAATTCATGAACCTAAGTTTAAGGTCAACATGAAGTGCTGTTCGCAACCAATTTTTTCGAATGCATTTTTGATGAGTTAAGATAAGGTACAATATATTTTTTTGTTTGTTTTTGAAAGAAGTCTGCATTTATTTGCCCAAAAATACAGTAAAAACAGTAATATTGTGAAAGATTATTACAATTCAAAAGATATTTTCTATTAAAATGTTTTCTAGAATGTAATTTATTCCTGTGATGCGCAGCTGAATTTTCAGCATCATTAC